GGAGGAGCAGAGTAGGGGGGACAGGGCGGGGTGGGGGGGACAGGGCAGGGGCGGGGGGCAGGGCTCGGCTGCCCGTGACACCCTCTGCAGGCCCAGTGCAGCACAGACTCCAGCGGCCAGAGCAGCTAGTCCAGAAAAATGCAACAATGCCCGGAATGGAGTCTTTCCACTGCTAAGAACATTTTTGTGGTACTATAACGAACTGACGAGCAAATCCTCAGGATCCTCAGGTATGTGCAGTGCTCAGCCTGTCAGAGCCCGGTCCGTGTTCCTTTTGGGTCATCTAGACTGTTCTAGGCACATGTGGATCAGGAACTTCTAGTGAGGGTCCAACTCTGCCTTGAAGGCAGCCCATCCGGGCCCTGAAGATGACTCACAGGAAGGACCTCTCCCCCTAAGCTTTAGCTCTCAGCTCTAAGGCTTTGTGCTGTCTGGAGAACGGGAGAGAAGCCTGGGCCACACTGGCTGGGGCTGAGGAACCGAAGCCCCGGTTTCCTGGCGACAGGCCCAATCCAGCTACTCGCTCGTGGCAGGTGGCTGCTGTCTGGGCGGCTTATCCAAGTACTGCGCCCCTCAGCTGCAAGCCTCTGCGCTGACCCCAGGAGAGGGAGGGGCAGCCTCCCAGTCCCGTCTCGTTGTCTGAAAACCATGGCCAACACTTCCGGTGGGGATTGATTCTGGGCATCGGATGAATTAGTGCGAGCCAAGCCCGGCCCCTGTGTGTGGGCCGCGTCGTACACCATGCTTCTCCCTGTCATGTAACACACGGGATTGTACTCACTCCTGAATTTGTTCATTTGCACCACGTTCGTGCTTGTTCTCAAGAGTTAAGAGAAACATGAGCTTATTATTTTTAGTAGACATTTGCAAACCCTCGTAGCCACAAGAGCACCTACAAATGCTCACTCGCCTGCTTCCTGTGCGCCAGTGCCTCCTCTGACAGATTTGCTCTGCAAGGATTTCATGTATCATTTCTACGGGGTCAATCAGTACTCCTCGGACCCATCGGTTGGCAGGTCAGCGTCCTCCCTGAAACTGCAGAGGAACTCACTCTGCGTGTGCGAGGCTTGAAGTCGGGCTCGGAGACCCATTCCTTTCTGAAAATGCTCCTGTGCCCCGAAGAGCAGATTCTGATCAATGTTACGTGGGTGGCACACTTGACCGCCACAAGAGAGATCAACCAAAAGAGGTGTATGTCAACCCAGTTCTGGAAAGAAATTAATTTTTTTCTACAGATTTTTTTTCCTGTACTACCAGACCCTATCCATCCAAAAGTGCATAAAATCAAAACCCACCTGACTTGAACCTGCTTACTTGAGATCCTCTAGTGTGGAAATACCAGGGTGACTGTGATAGGAAACTGACTCTACCAGAAATATGCACAACACCTCTGCCCTCAGTGCTGATTGGACAACACCTCTGCCCTCAGTGCTGATTGATTGGACAACACCTCTGCCCTCAGTGCTGATTGGACGATGCAGAGAAGTCTGGTGTCTGGCAGGAGGTACCTCAAGGCCCCTTCCCCTGAGAGTCTACATTGGTTGGGGTATCTGAGAGAGAGGGAGAGAGGAAGAGAGAGAGAGAGAGAGAGAGACAGACAGACAGACAGAGACAGAGAAAGAGACAGATACAGAGAGAGAGAGACAGAGAGAGGAGGAGGGGGAGACTGTCTCGTTCACTTCTGTACTTGGTGACAAGTGGCAGGGAGATGACCTTCCTAGGTCATGGCGGGAGTTGAACTGAGGTCAGGACCAGAACCTCCTTCCAGAGAGGGGACTGCAGGGGGGGGTGGAGCGGGCAGAGGCACCCAGAAATCGGGGGGCTCTGGGAGAAGGACTCGGGGGCCTGACCAGCTACGGCTGCACCGTGAAGTGCGATGGAGATGAGGTTGGGAGTGACAGACAGAGCCAGTGCTTGCACGCTGGGGAGCGGCGAGGTGTGGACTTACTTTCTGGAGGGACCCTATCTTTGTGCGGGCATCCGGATAGACTGCGGTGATGCGGATAAAGCCCAGTTACATGGCCGGTTCCATCACAGCCGGGGGTTGGACACTTGCTCTCTTTCTTTTCTGTTCTTGAGGGATCTAAAAGTGACAACAGGTGCCGAGAGAGTGAGTGTTTACCAACCGAAGACAAATGTGGTTATTCAGCAATCTGAAGAGACCGTGGCTAAACAAAGAAATAAAGCAGGGGTCAGGGCCGGTGGGTCGGCGGACTGCTGCCTGGGTGTCCTCGGCATGTGGGCGATCTGCTCCCTTACACAACGGAGTCACGAATCAGAAAGAGCTTCCGCTTTTATCCGAAAGAAAAAGAAAAGCCTATCCCTGACCTTCCCTCTTGATTAATTGATTTCCCGTGTGTTACATGATAATAAGCTGTGTTGCTCAAAGAAATCAATAGAAATAGTGATGAGACAGTTGCCTTCTTAGAGAACAAAACTCCACACCACTGTCAGTCAGCAATTGCTGGTAAGATTCAACCAGAGGGTGAGATCTGCTCAAAAACCCTTGCGCTGAGTTCCTTCTGATCCAGAGCTCTGGCCGCCTCTGATATCAGCCGCGGAATTTGCCTGGCATTGACATCAAGCCTGCTGCTTCTCAGCGCAGCTGTTTAGCACGTTTCGTTTTCGTTTTTTTAAGTGAACTGAACTCTCAGAAGGCACTGTAAGCAAATGACCAAAAGGGTGGAAATCCCACCTGGCAGAGGTGGTGGTAATCAAAAATGCTTCAGAAGCCGCCAGAGCAGCCATTGGTTTTGATTTCTTCGTCTATACTGTGAACCAGAGGAAGGCCCGTGTACGCTGTGCGTGCATGCACAAAATTAAGAGGAAATGCTTGCCTAGAGCCTGGGAGCCCCCCGCGGTGCCAGTCAAGGGCCAGTCAGAGCAGACGTTTGGTCCAGAATTGAATGCTAGATGCCAGAAATGTGACGATATTGCTAATAAAATCATTTCTACACCCAGAATTGACCGCACAGTTCACAATCATGCAGTACAACAGCTCCAGAGAATAGCCCTGATGCGGACCAAACGCTACGTCTGCATGTGAAGTCGCTTTTGAAAACCAGTTGCTCAGATCACCAATGCAGAGTGGCTGTCATGGTTTGGTCTGGGGAATGGCAGTTCAATTTTCAGCAATTTAATCTTTTATATGGATATTGCATCAACCTGGCCAATCGTGATGGTTAGAATTGTTAACAATTGTTAACAGTTCACTTATTTCAAGGAAAAGCATTCTTGATTTTGAATTTTGTGCCTCTTGGGCTTTGCTCTTAGTCACTTATGAGCCCTGGGGCTTGGTGTACGACTCCTGGCACCTGCCAGTGCTGTGGCGCTCACAACAAGGCTCGGATCCGCTGCTGGTCTGTCCTGCATGGTGCAGCCGTCCGGGCTGAGCCTGTCTAGCGAGGCAGCATTGGCTTCTGTCCCGCACGCTGGCTTCACAGCCTCTGCAGACAAGCCTGATACTACGTGGCCGTGCCTCGGTTTCTACTATGGCACGCATGCGAACTAACTAGCCAGCATTTTGCTGCCTTTCAGTGATTTCATAATCATATTTGTGAGATTTAATCAATATTACTATAAAATAGTAATGGTTCCAAAGGAAAGGATTATTTAGAATCATAAGCTGGAGAACAGAATTTTAACTGGCTATAAGAGATTTGTGGAGACCATGATTAATCATTAATTTTTAATCATTAAGTGATTGCCTTTAACAGGATCCTTATGAATTCTCGCAAATTATTTTCAAAGTGCTTTGGAATTAAGTACAAATTTCCATGAAAAGCCATGTGGCTCAAAAGTGCTTCTGGCTTTGGAAGACAACAGGTCATGATCTCCTCCCGGTGGGCGAGGCCCGGCTGCCCTGTCTGCTCATCTCCATCTCTTACCTGTTCAGATTCCACTTAGTCTTTAAAGGAACACAAAACAGCTAAGCACACAGGAGACCAACATTGAACAAAAGCCTGTCACAACCTATAGGAACAAAAGGTGTGCTGGATTTGGCTTGTGCTCCTGGGTGGAAAAGGCACAGTGTGTCTTTTCTTAGCAGCTAAAACCTCTGGAAATTTCCATCCAGATTTGCACTAGCTTTGAGGACTGTGGCAAAGGGTGATGTGGAAGGTGCTGTCTGATCTCTGCTGTAGGAGCAGAGGCTGTGACACTTTTGACTGTGTGCACATGTGTGTGTGTGTGTGTGTGTGTGTGTGTGCATGTGTGTGAGGCATTGTCGCTGCCGTTCAGCACAGGGGGGATCCCGCGACTGGGTTGTTTTTAAGGAATCTGCATCCGTTTACTTTGCTGGACTCTATATAGCTACAGACTCACTCAGAAGACTGCTCTTGTCAGTGGCAGAAGATGGAGACAGAGCGGACGAGGCATGCGTCATTGCTTCCCGCCCCGCCCCATGCCAGCAGGGCAGGGCTGCTCCCTCTCACTTTTTAACGTTCCTCCTCATCCCTGTCCCCACTTATTTACAAAGGTGAAACAAACAGTTTAAATGCCATTGCTTGCAAAATAACACTAGAACAAAAAGCTGTCAGAATTTGCTGAATTTGGAGACCAACAGAGACCAAGGAAGCAGAGGCCACACAGGCTCTGCAGGGTCCTCTCCACCACAAACTCTCAGCACCGATCGGAGAGACACGCACTGTCTGTGATTCCAAAGCAGAAGCTAACACGTGCTCATCTAACAGCAACCACTGCGGGCGCGAGACAAAAGGCACTACTTCTTCCTTGAAGTGCTTGGCTCCTGCATGATTCTCAAAAATCCAACTAGAAACTTCCAATGGATGGTTTGAGCCGATCTTACTCACAATGATAGCTCCACAATTCAGTGCATGGATGCTGTGTTTACAGTCTTCCCAAGGCCCCTAGCAAGCCTGAAGCTTCGCCGGGCCAGGACACACACCCCTGCGTCACACCGCACACCTCCAGGGCTCTAGACTGTGTCTTCCGCACCCACACACTGGCCAGCCGGGAGCCGTGTGCTCTGGCGCAGGCTTGTCTCCTGCTTGGATGTGCTCATGGGTTTTCTAGCGGGCCACAGAGCTACGTGCACATCGAGAGGAGAACACACACCTGTGCCCCCATCGAAATGATGCCTTTTTTTTTTTTTTTCTGGTCCTTTGAACTTTCTATAGCAACTGATTTTCAAACTAAATTCCTGAGTCTTGTTATGAGATCCACAGAGAGAAAACTCAGTATTCATAATTCACAGAATTAAACGCAAGACAGAAGAAAGGAACATTTTTGGTGCAAATATAGAAAGATTTAAGAAGTTATCAATTTCATTCTTAAAACTTTTCCTTACTGAGTTCCAAAGGCATCTTGTGCATGAGATACATACGATGCCACGCTTCTACCTGAAGCGGAGGCCTCGAGAGACCCAGGGTCCTTGGTTCAGGTTGGACATCCACGCGTGCTTTACTTACTGCAGATGTGTATAATGTATGTGTGTGTAGTTAATTCTGTAGATGGATACAGCTACATGCCCGTACGCCTTGCAGAACAAAACTCAGCCGGAGCGATCGTGTTGGGTAGTTCTGAGTGTCCCATAACAAGCGATATTTGAGGAAGGAAGATACCAGCTTCCACCGTGCAAAGGGGTCTGTGGGGGGAGGGGCACACTAAAGAAACTGCTATGGATTCCAGCCGAGCCCATGCCGTGGCTTGCATAGCAAATGGTTTCCATTCCCTGACTGTCTGCGATAATGAATGTGCGGTGCTGACCTTATCTGAAGCCATTGCTCATCCTGCGGCTGTTTGGTTTCTATCAGGGGTGTTTTCCATGGGGGCAGTTTCACCAAGAACTGTCGCTGGGTGATCATTTTATAAATCACACGGCCACCTATCTAATCCAGTTTATAAGATGTGTGCCTCATCTCTGGTTCGCTAATGGCTACAGGACTTCCGTCACTGAACAGGGCTCTAGGCCCGAGGCAGCCCAGGCCTGCCCTGCTGCCCTCTAACACGAGTGTGCGGGTGCTTTGGCCTGCCTTCTCCCACTGAGTGTCCTGGGGTGCGTCTGCCCTACCAACGGCACAGAGCGCTGCCTCGTGTGTATCTGCACACACGTTTCACTTGCTCTCCTGGGATGCCGTCACCAACTATAGCTGTGGAATAGACTGTCAAAGTGTGCATTAGAGAGAAAACTCGGTGTGGCTGGTACTGTAGGCATTCTCTGCCGCGCTTAGCTCATGTGCTCACGAGGCAACTTACGTTAGGTAGAAATATTACCTTTACCATAGTATGGCTTTTTGACATGACTGTCACTGGACTTGGGCCTCCTGTCCTCCCCAGACGGCTGGCGTGGAGACTGGTCCTCAAAGGGTCTCATGGCGTCCCTCCGCCCGGCGTCCAGGGCCATCTTCTCCCGCATGGCCTTGGCCCGCTCCGTTTCCAGGGCGATGGCCTTCTCCAGCAGGGTCAGATTGCCCTTGGTCATGTCAAACACCTCCTCAGACCGGTCGGAGTTCACGGAGGCCGCATCATCCTCCCTGTCCGGACACCCGTCCTCCTTCGCACAGCTGGAGAACGTTCTAGACCGGGGGCTGAGCTGCTCCTCCAGCCGCATGAGGTTCATCATGTCCGAGTAGCTGCGGTCCGGCGTCCTCCCCGGGAAGTCCTCCTCGGGCCGCCCGTGCTGGCGCAGGCCGGCGCCGGCCGGCTGGCTCCGGTCCTGCGGGTTGGTCTCGCTGAGCTTCCTGGCCAGGTCGAAGCACTGATTCCGCAGGCACTCCAGGCTGCTCAGACACACCTCCTCGTCGCTCTCCTCCACCATCTTCTCCATCAGCCCGTTGCTCATGGGCTTCCCCAGCATGACGTAGTTCAGATTCCTGCCGTCCTGCGGGGCCGCACCGTCCGCGTAGCTCCGCTCGCCCAGGTTTTCCGAGAGCACCACCCCGTGGCCCTGGGCCAGCAGCTTCAGCGAGTCCACGGTCTCCCGCACCACGTCGCTGTCCAGGTCCAGGCTCAGCTCGCCCTTCCGCCCCAGGCTGTCGTTCTTGTCGCTGTCGCCCTCCAGGCTGTTGGAGGTGCTGCTGTTCATCTCCGACTCGGTCCTGGCCCGGTGCGCCGCGTCCTCGGCGATCTTGCCCAGGTTCAGCAGGGACTTGGCCACCAGCTCGTCGTAGTTCTCGTACTCGTCATTGTTGTTGTCGTCCTTCTCTGGGTCCTGCCCGACGCGAGAGCTGTGACAGCTCACCGGATGCTCATCTGCAGGGAGAGAGAAGACAGAGAGGAGGAGAAAGGGAAAAGTGGCTCTCGCGGGGCGCTTCCTGCAACAGCACGGGCCGCGCGGAGACAGCGCGCACGCCGGTGCACAGCTGGGTGGAGTCTGCGGACGGGCCCAAGAACCTGAGGCCCCTTAAGACCGTCACCATGAGCTGCTGGCTCCTGAACTAACCCAGAGGTCACACAGGGGACGCAGCAAGCATCGTTTCCAAGGGCACAGCACTGTTCTTATCCCCCCCCCCCCCATCACAGTGCTGTCTAAGGGTTCATGAACTTCCTTTCTTCAGCCTCTTGAACAGATGTTTGCAGCGACTGCTTTGAATGGCTGACTCTCATAGTCGTACTTAGCCAAGACAGAGGAGAGCCCCGGGCTCCTGAGCCTCTCAGGAGGACCCTGCATGTGCAGAGCCCCCAGCAGGGGGCAGTGTGAGAGCCCAGCCCAGCCGAGGCCTGCTGGACAGGCCGGCCCTGCCGCCAGTCTGCACTGTGGGGAAGCGGCCGCCGAGGACCAGCTCTGTGGCAGGCTGGGAAGCGGGCAGAGGCACAGGGTCATCCAGGACAGGGCTGGGAGGCTGGTGTGACGGCCACACCTACGCCGTGCCGTTTAACTGGCCGCGTGCTGGGGAAATCTGCGTGAGGCAGGGAACGTGGGCATGAAGTCTTACTCACGCCTCTTTATTTCGGAGTGCTTGCGGAGCCCCCTCCCCCCGCACTATCAGAGCCCCGGCTCCCACCAGCCCGCATCTCCAGCATTTTTGTGATATCGGCGACATTGGAAGGCTTCTCTGCTGGTCCGCTCAGCTAGGCTAGCTGTCCACCATTTCACAGCTCACTTTTCCTCCCACGACTCAAGAAGCATAGTGGGAATTTTCCACATCTAATGCTAATCTGAAGGAATGAGGTACATGGACTTGTAGAAAATGCTGGTGCTCAGTTGTGGATCTTATACGGAAAAAGTTTTTGTAAGTGAAAAAAGAAGGATTTGGAGCTGAGTGTAGCAATCATGGAAAACATCTTTGTTTTCTGCCTAGGACCAGCAGATATCCCAAACCCCAGCAGGCTGGTCACCACATCACTCACTCTCTGAAGAGAGACAGTGTCTTTTAGACAATTACTACAGGTCATTTTCCTTATTATAAAGATAAACATAGCCCCAAAGGGCAGCAAGAAGACAGGAAGAGAACAAGGCCATCAAACGAGATCAGAGCATGCACCTGGCCCCCGGGCCGCTGCCCAGCTCCCGGAGCGAGGGGATCCTGATCTAATGAAGCGTTAGCAGCATTTTATGCCCTTGATGTCTGCACTCATCCGCGCCCCTGGGCAGCACCCGTGGATGACGGCAAGGTACCGTGTACCCTGTGCCTTTGGTGGGTCTCACACACAGGGTCTCTGGGCCCGTGGAGCTGATCAGATCAACTTAGATACGAGAGGACCCGTGAGAGTTGGATCAAGGAAGCAGCCACAGCCAGGCAGGCGTTCTGTTCCCCAGACTTTGAACTCTTCACTGGGTCCTGGAGCATCAGAAGGAAGGCGTCGTTGACACTGGTGAGCCGCACAAGAAAGTCCTGCTGCTCCTCTCTGCTGCCCACACCGAGGCGCGGGGCCCTGGGCCTCTCTCCCCTTGCTATGGGTGCGGAGGCTCAGGCTGCGTCCCGGGCGGGCTGCCCCCACCTGCCTTCCACTCCCCACTCCCCACCTGCACCTGCTACGCCGTGTGACTGAGGGTCAGCCTCACCTCGATTCGAGTCTTCCCAACTCGTGGCCGGGGGAAGATGGAAGGGAGACGGACAACTTCCCATGGCTGCCCAGTGGATCCATGCAGTGAGAACAGGCTGTGGAGGGAGGTCCTTCGCTGCCTGGGGCCGGCACGCAGGGGAGCCGCTCTGCTGTGGGTGAGTGTGGCGTCATGGGACCCTCCACCGTCCTGGGCCAGGGCCCAAGCGTTCAGAGCCCAGTGGCTCATCTGACAGGTGGGGCTGGCAGGGCTGCCTGGGCCTCCCTGTGACCCCGTAAGAACTCCAACAAGCCTGCAATCCTAGCTCCCAGAAGGCTAAGATCTGAGGATTGTGGCTCCAAGTCAAGCCTGGGCAGGAAGACTCTAATCTCCAGTTAACCACGAAAAAGCTTGAAGTGGAGCTGTGACTCAAGTGGTAGAGTGCTAGCCTTGAGCAAAACTGGTCAGAGACAGTGCTCAGGCCCTGAGTTCAAGTGGAGAACCAGTACACACACACGCACACACACACACACACACACACACACACACACACACACACACACACACACGCACACGAATTCCATCACCAGGACACCCTGCAGGCTCCAGTTCTAAGCACAGCACAGGTGGTAGCTGTGTTGTAATGCCAAGGAACAGGAGCCTGTTCGTTGAAGGAATCTGGAAACACAGGCACAGCATGAGTTGGCTTTTCCCTGAGATCAACATCTTGCAGCTGACAGCAGGGAGAAGGGGATGGCTGTGAAGATGGCAGGTGTGGCCCTAGACTTACAGGCCACAGGCAGCCTCAAGTTACCAGTGTGGAGCGGGTTGAGAAGTGAGGCGCTGGCCTTGCCTGGAATCTGGGGCCTGGAATCCACTCGGGGAGCTCTGGCTCCTCACTTTCACCCAAGTTGTCTTCCTAGTTATGTCTTCTCTGAGGCTAATGAAATGAGTCACATGCAGACAAGGGCTTTGGCAAATAGATCAGAATTTCCTGTGCCAGACAGGATTAAAATATGCTACAAAAGCTCCACGAAATGAGCATTCCAGCCATGAAGTTTCAAGCGTGGCTGGTCTCTATTGAGTGCCTGGTGTTCTATCCCAGAGCTCGCTTTTCATAAAGCTAACGTTCATGTGTGTGTGAGCTGGGGGGCAGGGCTGTTTAGATAGACGCCTCAGGGACGTCGAAACCCGCCACTTAGCAGAGCTCCAAGCTCAGACTCTGAACCTCACCCTCTAGCAGAACCCCACGATTGGATTATGGCAGAGTCAGTCTTAGTGGTGACAGCAGTTCTCCAGGGATGGCAGAGCTGTCACGCTGAGATGGAAATTCTGGATGTTCTGATCCTGCTACCCCCAGATAATGAGACAGAGCCCAGAGCTCAGAGTCCCCCGTGGCTGGGCCTGGGTGACCTCAGCAGAGACTCACCTCCGTTTTATTGCTATAACTCGGGTGATCTTAATCCTCAGGGGAGCTTTATCAAGTAATTACAGAGCTGAACCATCTCCTCTGAGTCAGGTTTTATGAGCAATTTATGCTCTGATGATGCAACCAGTCTGAAGACTTCCCTGCAGTCTCTGTCAGATGCTTCTCCTCCACCTCCAGGTGAGGGCCCGGCGTGAACAAACGGTATGAGCTGGAACTGCCGCAGCCCCCACAGTGCCTCAGAGCCTTAAAGGTAGCTGCTTTCTAAACCAGCATTGGATTGGCCTCAGAAATGAGTATCTAAGTGGGCACCAGGGCCTCAGGTCTGTAGCCCATTACTTGGGAGGCTGAGGTCAGAAAGATTCCAGTTCAAGGCCAGCCTGCTCAACAGAAGCCCCAGGGCTGTGTCGTGTGCAAACCTTCCTAGCTGCATGGGGAGCTGGGATCCGAGGACTGGCTCTAGCTTCAGTCCGGAAAGTCTTCCAGACTCAATTTCCATGGAGGGAAGCTGGGGGGGGGGCACGCCTGTGCTCCTAGCCTCCACGGAAGCCTGACGTAGGTGGACTGCGGCTCAGGCGCCTTGGGGAGGCTGCAAAGCCTTGTACAAGCGTCTAGTGGAAAACAAGTCTGGAGGCTTTTCAGTGCTAGCTTAACAAGCACAGGGCTGAGCTCAAACCCACCCTGTACAGAACCGCATGAGCGAGGAGAGGAAGGAGAGAAGGAGGGGAGAGAGGAGAGAGAATGCAATAAATAGACCAGCATCAAACTCTGGCTTGCAGTGCTGAGATCTGATAGGCTATTGGAAGATGATGGGAAGGGGGAGGCGCTTCAGGAGCAGCTGCGGTAATGGGAGAGGAGAGCTGGAACGTGGCACAGATGTGTGGTACAGGCCACGTCCCCTGGACCGTGGCGCACGGCGCCCTTGTGTATTAAGTGACATTGTCGGGGCAGAGAACGCCTGGGCCGTGCGGACCCAGGGTTGGAGCAGATCTGTCACCGCTGGTGCTCCCAAGGGGCGGGTTCCGGGAAGGCAGGCGCCAGGATGGGGGGCACAGGGCTGGGCACAGTTCTGGCGGGCACAGGACTCAGCCTCCCTCCACCCCTCGTCCCTGCAGCCTGGACATCCCGGTCCTTGACATAACCTTCCTTCCCGCTCAGGATGAGAGTGGCAGACCTGCTGCCCGCCTCTCCTTCATCCTCGGTGGACGGGTGGGACTCAGCGGGAGGTCTCCTGAGCTCATGCTCTCTGGAGACGCGGGAGGGGCTCTGGCTGGCAGCCACTTTCCTCCAACCCAACCCCGTGGCTGGTGGGTTTCCCGGGGTCACGGGAGACTCTGGGCGCGCCTGCAGCGGCTCACCTGAGTCACTGGACTCACGTCCCTGTGCCCATCAGCTGGGTGTGTGCCAGGTGGCCAGTGCTTCCTTTCCTAAGCCACAGTACATTTGCGCTGGAAGGGATTATGAAGATGGCCCGCCATCCAAGACCTCTAGTCCCCCGGAGAGGTGCAGGGCAGGGAGGGAGCTCTGTGTGCCAGGCTAGAGGTACCTGGTCGGTCAGCTGCCACCGCGTCCCGGTCAGTCAGCTGCCACCGTGTCCCTGTCAGCTGCTACCGTGTCCCGGTCAGTCAGCTGCCACCGCGTCCCAGTCGGTCAGCTGCCACCGCGTCCCGGTCGGTCAGCTGCCACCGCGTCCTGGTCAGCTGCCACCGCGTCCCAGTCAGTCAGCTGCCACCGCGTCCCGGTCAGTCAGCTGCCACCGCGTCCCGGTCAGTCAGCTGCCACCGCGTCCCGGTCAGCTGTCACCGCTCTGTCCAGCAGCGTTTTCATCACACACAGACCCCC